ATTTGATAATGCTATAGTCAAAATTGATTTGAAAGGAAAACATGTTTTCCATTTGATGTCAGAATCTTAATTCAAACTGTCTCAAATGGTAACTTGTCTAAATACCATGGGAGTGTATCTTTCCTTTCTTCTCTGTAACAATTGTCATCTTCCAGGGTCATGTTGATTATACCATGGCCAATTGGCTTTGAAGTAATGTCAGCATCTGTTGTTAGTCCTTAATATATTCTCATCCAAGGGATTTACAGGGAGGCTAAATGAAAATCTGTATATACTCTTACTCATTATTAATAGTTGAACTTTTGGCTCAAGCCCCCGTTTGAGCCTCATTGAGGTATAAAAATTTTGAATTTGGTACCCAGAGTATATTTTGTTTTGGAAATATGATCTAATGGTAGAAGCATTGATCCAAAAGTCTTAGGCTATAGACCTAATATTTCTACAAACTCCTTGTAAAATTCAGATTCTGTATAACCTCTGGGTACCTTAATTTCTCTGTTTATTAAAATGACTAATTTATATCTACCCCTATTGCCTCATAGGGATGTTGTTGAAATATATATAATGACTTGTTTCTGTCGTGGGCAATATACTTACAAAGATGAATTCCAATAATTTAAGGTCACATTTTAATTTATCAGAATTAAAAGTACACATATCTTTTATACCCCAAAGGTGTGACAGTGCTTGTGATTAATGACTGACTGAAAGCTTAAGTAGTAGTTCAGCAATAATGGTAATTTCTTAAAATTCAGTTTAAGAAGAAATCTCCAAAGAAAAGATGAATATAAAAATGGAAAACTTACATAAGTTGAAAAGTAACCAAAACTAAAGTAAAAGAAACAGAGAAAATACATACATCAAAGCTTACAAAGGGTAGTCAACATCTAAAACAGTCAAGAGAATTTATTAAAATATGTAACAAAAATATCAAGTCTGTGATAGACCTATGAAAATAGAGAATGAATAGGCAGTTCACACAAAAGGAGACAAAAATAATAAACACATGGGGAAAAGTCCAGCCTTGCTAGTAATCAGAGAAATTCAAATTAATGCAGAAATTGTTAAAAAACCATTTTAATTATTATATCATTTTATTGCATAAATATAAATTGACACAAAAATTGATACAACACCATATACAAAAATATGTGGAATACTATAATGAATATTTTATGTACCCACACCTTGCTTCCCACCATCACCCAGTTTTGTTTTGTTTTTTTTAGATTTATTTATTTATTTTTTATTTGAGAGAGAGAGAGAGCATGAGCTGGGGGAGGGGTAGAAGGAGATGGAAAGGGAGAGAGAAACTCCAGCAGACTCCCCACTGAGCATGCAGCCCTATGCCGTGCTCCATCCCAGGACCCTGAGATCATGACCTGAGCCCAAACCAAGAGTTGAATGCTTAACCGAATGAGACACCCACGCGCCCCCCACCACCCAATTTTTTGAATGATAACACTACTGACCAAGTTATGGTAGTGGCAAAATTACTACTATAATCATTGTTGGTGGTATTGTAAAATTGGATCACTGTTTTACAAAGCAATATGGTAACACATGTCATTAGCCTTAAAAGTGTGCTTACTTTTGGCCGGGAGTTCTTTTGAAGGATATTATTCATGAAAGGAAAAGCATTTAGACAAAGTAGTCTTCATTTTATTATTATTTATACTGATGAGAAATTAGAAATGATTTAGATATTCAACATTTTAGAAATAAGTAAGTAATGGTATACCAACTCAATGGATAATTATAGATCCAGTTAAATTGAAAAAACTAAAATTGCTTAGCAAAATGGGCTTTTTCATTGTAGCAAAATATACATAACATAAAATTTACCATTTTAACCATTTTTAAGTGTATAGTTATGTGCATTAAGTACATTCACATTGTTGGGCAACCACCACCACTATCCATCTTTAGAACTTTTTCATCATCCCCAACTGAATCTCTTTACCCATTAAACAGTAACTCCCCATTTCCTCCACTTTTCACTCTTGGCAAATACTGCTCTACTTTCTGTCTCTGAATTTAACTAATCTAGGTACCTCATATAAGTGGAATCATAAAATGTTTGTCCTTTGTCTGGCTTCCTTCACTTAGCATAATGTCTTCACGGTTTATCCATGTGCAGCATATGTTAGAATTTTATTCCCTTTTAAGGCTGAAAATGTTCCATTGTATGTATATTCCACATTTTGTTTATCCATTCAGTCATGAGTAGACATTTGGATTCTTTTCACCATTTGGCTATTGTGAATAATGCTGCTATGAAGATGGGTATACAAATATCTGTTTGATATATATCCAAAAATGGAATTGCTGGATCATATAGTAATTCTGTGTTTAATTTGGGGGGGGAACTGACAAGCTTTCGTCTATATATTTTTTTCTGGCCTGTGTTTTTGGTGTCCTATCCAAGAAATAGCCAAATCCAATGTCATGAAGCTTTTCTACTATGTTTTCTTCTTAGAATTTTATAGTTTAGTACTTACATTTAGGTCTTTGATCCATTTTGTGTTAATTTTTATATATGGTATAAGGAGTTCAAATCAATTATTTTGCACTTGGATATCCAGGTTTCCCAGCTTCATTTGTTGACCAGATTGTCCTTTCTCCCATTGAATGGTCTTAGCATCCTTTTTTTTTTTTTTTAAGATTTTATTTATTTATTTTCGAGACAGAGCATGCATGAGGGCAAGTGAGGGGAGGTAAGGGGAAGGAAGAGGGACAAGCAGACTCTGAGCAAAGTGTGGAGCCTGACACCGGGCTAGATCTCCGGATCCCAAGACCATGACCTGAGCCAAAACCAAGAGTCGGGGGCTTAACCGAATGAGCTACCCAGATGGTCTTAGCATCCTTGTTGAAAACTACTTGATCACGTATGTGAGAGTTTATTTCTGGGCTGTCTATCTATGCCATTGGTCTATATATTTGTCCTTATGCCACTATCACACTGTTTTGATTACTGTAGCTTTGAAGTGAGTTTTTATTTATTTTTATTTTTTATTTTTATTTTTTTTAAATCAGGACATGTAAGTCCTCCAACTTTGTTCTTATTTTTCAGTAGCAAAATATTTTAGATATAACATTAAATAGAAAAGATACAACATAAAATAATGTTAATTAGAATATAAAAAATAGGTTTCTATCTAAGGCCAGTCTTAGGAAGGATTACATAGAAATCAAACTAGGATGATAGAATTATGGAGATTTTTTCCCCCTATTTCTAAATTTCTAATTTTAAATTTATTTTGGTTCTATGAAAATAACATAAAATATGAAAATAATTACCATTTATACAATGGAAAAATGATGTATAAATACATGTTAGGATTATTTAGCCTTTAAAAAAAAGTGGGTGAGAAATCATTCTCAGTGTAAATTATGTTTGTTCTCGCCTTTTTAGTGCCATAGTAGATAATTCTATAATGGATTACTAGTATTTTTTATATTATTGTATACAGCTAATGCAGACCTTTTCAGTAGCTTTCTTAATATGATTAAAGCCTTGAGCTTATTATTTAAATATCATCCAGATAATTTTTCAAAATCCTTTTTTATGGCGCACCTGGGTGGCTCAGTCGTTAAGCGTCTGCCTTCAGCTCAGGTCATGATCCCAGGGTCCTGGGATCGAGCCCCACATCAGGCTCCCTGCTCAGCCGGGAGCCTGCTTCTCCCTCTCCCACTCCCAGTGCTTGTGTTCCCTCTCTAGCTTTCTCTCTCTCTCTCAAATAAATAAAATCTTAAAAAAACAAAACCAAAATCCTTTTTTATAAAGTCATTTCAAAACCTTGTAAATATGTTTGGAAGTCATTAGGAATAGAACAGAAATATGTTATACATTATAGGTAGACAAACCTAATGATAAATTGAAGAGCATTTTTGTACACATTTATGGCAATGGCACAATTTCTCATATCTTCAGTGGAGAATTTTTTTACTTTCTGCATATAGCGTCATCTTCGAGTTTTATTTAAAACTTAAGAGATCCAGGAGCTATTAGTTTCGACCAGAAGGGATTTGGCTAACCAGAAATAGCAGAACTAATCGTATAGAAGTCTTTCTCAAAACTGATGTTTATGAGCATTTTGTTACAGCTGTAAAACTTATTCAGTATTCTTTTAGTTACCTGGACTTGAAACGGTTATTTTGGTTGTCATGTACTTTAACTTTTAAATACAAAGTCATCACTTTTCCTTTCAACATCAGTTTTAGTGGCCCTTAGTCATTTTTACTATGTTCCAAGCACTAATCCTGCCCTAATTATTGTGGCAGCATTTTTTAAAAAGATTTATTTATTTGAGAGAGAGAGCGAGAGAGCACATGAGTGGTGGGAGGGGCAGAGGGAATGAATCCTCAAGCAAACTTCGCTGAGCGGAGCCTGACTCAGGGTGGGAGGTGGGGAGGGCCCTTGATCCTGTGACCCGTGGGATCATGACCTGAGCCAAAACCAAGAGTTGGACACTCAACCAACCGAGCCACCCAGGTGCCCCTGTAGCAGCATTTTTATTTATTTATTTATTTATTATTTATTTTATTACTCTGTTTCAGTACTTCTCCCACTCTCATGAACTTCATTTTTCTTACTTCTTTTTTCCATTATGTCTTTTCCTAGCTTTTCATTATCTAAATTCTGCTAATCCTTCAAGATACGGTTCATAGATTGCCCTCTCAGTTTATATCGATGCAACCCCCCCCATCAGTCAGACACTATTGAATACCTACAATGTGCCAGGCATTATTTTAGGAACTAGAGTTATTATTTTGCACATGTGATTATTTTCTTGTTCTAACCATGTACTATAATTGAATTGTGTTAGGCCGGTTTTTTGTTTGTTTGTTTGTTTTACCTCTTAATGATGTCGCAAATTCCTGGAGGTCAGTGCTCTATTTGACATTTCTTTTATATCCTCCTCAGGTTTCTCTTTATTACTCTGCATGCTGGAAACATTTAATAAGTGTTTGAAAAAAATTTTTTTCCTTCATTTCAGGAGTGGCAATGTGTACAATCAAAAGGTTGCTTTTTCTTAGAAGAAGATGGTGAAATCATTAGTCATCAATATAGGATGCAAATAGCTCAGAGATCCATGGTTTATCTAACAATTAAACCATTAAACCTGAGTCAAGTTGAAGGCAAGTTTTAAGTTTTTCATGTATTTTTAAAATTTCAATTTATGCCCTCTTTGAAAATACTTATGTAAATATTTGGTAGCCTTAGTAAAGAAAATAATCTACCTAAGAAACATGGTTACATATACTTTAAGAAAGAAAGCATTAGTTTATACTTGGACTATGTTATCATATTTTACAAAGTATTTAGGTTGCTTTTCGTTATGTTTAAAACATTATTTTCATTCATTTAAAAACAAGAACAAAGTGTACCCTGGTTTCTTCATGACATAGAATTCTAACTTTTTATTTACTAATTAAGTTTTAACTCTTCCATTTGTCAATTTTTTAAATTAATATGTTTAAGAGAAGTTCTATAGGAACATAATTTGGGGCAATATGAACTGCAGACAACCTTTATTAATAATCTTTGCATTCATGGTAATATTGTTTTTTTGTATATAAGTGTTAGATACAAATTGATCTCCTAGTGTCTAAAATGGCTATTATATATATATATTTTAAAGATTTTATTTATTTATTTGACAGAGAGAGATAGAGCAGGAACACAAGCAGGGGGAGTGGGAGAGGGAGAAGCAGGCTTCCCGCGGAGCAGGGAGCCTGATGCAGGGCTTGATCCTAGGACCTTGGGATCATGACCTGAGCCAAAGGCAGATGCTTAATGACTGAGCCACCCAGGTGCCCATGACTATTATATTTTTAATTAGTGAAAATGTCTATAAGGGTGCTTTCACTAGATATCCTTTTAATGTTGATTGTTCTAAGTATCAATTTTTATTTTTCTTTTATTATGCTTATGTAAGAAAATGTTTATTTTATTACTAGAGGATTCTTCCCCACCCCATTCTTTTTGCTTCCTAAAGTAGAGATTCTAAAAGTTTTCACTGTATATCTTATGGGATACTTAAAACATTTGGTGGTTGATACTTTTAAGTGACAATTACAATAATCATTTTTTTTTCAGATAAAGGTATCAAGATAGGCCTGCATATTCAATGGAGATATTAATTCTCCATAGTCTTATGAAGAAGATCCTTTATTCACTTACTTATCAATTATTTATTGAGGGCCTTATATATCAAGTATTATTTTAGGTGCTTAGGATACATCAGAGTACAAAAAAGATAAAAATCCTTGTCTTTATGAACTTACATTCTAGTAGGGGAAACTAACAATAAATAGTAAAACATAATAAATAGTAAATGGTATGGTATGTTAGAAAGTGATAAATCCTATGGGAAAAATAGGGATAGGGCATTGTGAAAGCTGAGGGAATATGAGTTGCCACTGAAATGGAGTGGTTAGTGTATGCTTCATTAAGAAGTTAACATTTGAGCAAAGACTTTGAAAGAGGTGTATCAGTTATCAACTGCTATATAACAAATTACCCCAAAAGTCAGTGGTTTAAAACAATGAAACAATTGTTCACTAGTCAGCAGGTTTGCTAGATAGTTATTTTGTTTTGAGCTGGGCTTTGCTTTTCTCTGTAGGACTAACTAATGCATCCGTGATCAGAGGCGGGTTAGCTCATTGCTGGCTTTATTGGTCTTGGCTGGGCTCTCTGTGAGGTCTCAGCTGGGACAGCTTTACTCTGCCCCATATAATCTCTTACCTTCTAGTGAGTTAGCCTGGACTTGTTCTCTTGGTGTAACAGGGATCTCAAAGAAAAAGCAGAAGCACTTAGGGCTTCCTGAGGTTTGGGCTCAGAAGTGGCACATTACTTTTGCTATATTCTGTTGTTCATAGCAAGTAACAAGGCAAGCCCAGATTTATAAGGTAGAGAAATAGACCTGATCTCTTGATGGAGGAGCTGCAAGTCACATTGCAATGTGCTGTGAATACAGAGAGGGCAGCCATTTCTGCTGTCTTCCACAGAAGGCCAGGCAGGAATCTTTGTCGTTGTAGAGCTTGTGGAAGGGATGGGTGAAGAGTGGTGAAGAGTGGAGGTGGCAGAGCATTCCACAGAGAGGGAAAAAATACTCTGTCAGAGGCTCTGAGGTGAGAGTGTCCCTGGTGGTAGAAGAACAACAAGGTGACTAGAATGGCTAGAATGAGGTAGGAGAATGAAAGAATGAAGTAGGAGATGAAGACAGGGAGGAACCAGGGACAAAATCGGGTAGAGCTGATTTTGTTTTTTGGTTTGTTTTTGCCATAATGAAGACTTGGGCTTCTGAGAGAAATGAAGAACTAAGCTTAGGAGGATTTTTCCTATGGCTGCTCTCACAATTTTCTCTTCATCTTTAATTTACAACTGTTGAATATGTGTCTAGGTGCTTTTGTTTTTCTTGTTGGTGCTGTTATTGTGGAGTGTGTTTGTTTGTATTTATTCTGCTTGGATTTTTGACTTACTGTCTTTCATTATTTTTAGAAAAATTTTCCATCTTTATTTCTTCAAATATCTCTTCTGCTCTCTCTTTTCTTTTTCCATTTATATGGTGCCTGACATCTTGTCTTCTGTGCTGCACCACAGATAAGCGAGTGCTTGTATTTCATCTCTTCTTGGAAGGGTGTGTCTTTTCTTGGATTTCAGACTACTTGGTTGCCCTGGGACCTCAGCTCTGATGAGTTCAAGAAAAAATTACGATTTTCTAGTTCATGTACTGTTTCTTATTGTTAGGGTGGGAGCAACATTATTCCAACTCTCAACTCCATGAGAGGATTTTGAGTAGAGACAGGACATAATCTGACATATTTTAACAAGAGCAGTCAGGTTGCTATATTAGAAATAGATGGAAGGGGACCCAAGAGAATGCAGGGGTCCAGCTGTGATGCTACTGCAGACTTCTAGGAGGGTACTGATGATGCTTTGAACCAGAAATGTAGAAGTGATAAAAAGTAGAGATCCTGGATATATTTTAAAGGTTAAACCACAGGATTTCCTGAAGATTGGCTATCATATTCGAGAGAAGAAAAACGTTAAAGATGATTTCAAGATTCTTGGCTTGATTGGAAGCATGGCAACTGGAAGGATGAATTACTATTTACTGAGACAGAGATAGAGAAGAATATAGATAAGCAGTTGTTTTTTTTTTTTTTAAGGAGTTGGGGAAGGTCAGTTTTAGACCTAGAAATTCAAGTGGAAATGTCAAATAGACAGTTGATTATATGGGTCTAAAGTTCAAAGAAAAGGTTCTAGCTGGAGATATAAATTATGGAGTTGCCAGCACATAGATGGTGTCTCACATCTTTTCCTCCAGTGCCTTTCCACAGGTTAGCTAGTGCTTGAATCTCATCTCTCCCTAAAGGGTTGTTTTTCCTTGGATTTCAGGCTACTTGGTTGCCTTGCAACCTTAGCTTTCTGATAAACTTAAGAAAAGTTATGATCTTGGGCTCCTGGGTGGCTCAGTTGGTTGGGCGACTGCCTTCGGCTCAGGTCATGATCCCGGAGTCCCGGGATCGAGTCCCCCATTGGGCTCCCTGCTCAGCAGGGAGCCTGCTTCTCCCTCTGACTCTCCCCCCTCTCATGTGCTCTCTGTCTCTCTCATTCTCTCTGTCTCAAATAAATAAATAAAATCTTTAAAAAAAAAAAGGTTTAAAAAAAAAAGAAAAGTTATGATCTTTAGAAAGTAGGTATAGACAATATTTCTAGCAAGCTCACTGTATATAGTTACAAATGCTATGATGTTTCTGTATAAAAATGGGTTATGTATTTCTAAAAAAAAAAAAAATCCAAAGGGGAAAGAAACCACCAACTGCTTTTTTAGATAGGAAAGAGTAAGTAGTAATTGCTTATTTTAAGATGTTTGGGTTTTTTGTTTATAGGAAAACCATCCCCTTGGTTGTCAGTTGATACTGCCTTGTATATTCTTAAGGAAAATGAGAGTCAAGCAAATCTACAACTCATGTGTTTTACTGAACTACGAAATAGAGAAGTATACATATTTATTTCCTAATGTTTAATTTAAAAATATAATATGAACTCAGGTTTGGGGAAAATAATAGTTTTTCTATATTTGTTTGTTCTTAACTTGTATCTTCCCCTCCAATTAGGGTATATACAGTACTTAAGCACTATGCATATTATATGTGTTTTATTAATTGTGATGAATTTTTTTCTTGTTTGCTGAGATTAAGAGCTGAGGATTGATTAGTAGTCTTGGCTTCATAACTTATAAGTTGTGTGACATTTTACTTCACTTTCTTCTTCTCTAAATGCCCAGATGCCTCACATGTGAACATTTTTTTTTTTTACATGCAATAAAAATGATTGATGCCAGTGGATTTTTTCCCTAAATACTAGCAATTTAAGACTTTGGAAAAGTTGCTTTAGATGTTTGTCTTTCTTATACTACTACTGCAAAAAAGAAAAACTTCAAGATTATTATCCTCAGGCTTGACTCACATTATAGGGTTCAAAAATAGATTGATCTGAAGGAATGCTTTTAAATGATTTTATATGTTGCCCGTGGGGTTGTTTTGATCTTTCCTAATTATATATTTACTCAGAGGCCAAATATGTGAGGCAGATACATAACTGTGGCTATTTATTTTATGAGGACTACAAAATACATCTGCTACACAACAACAGGAATAATACTATTCAAGGGCTTACTGCAGTATCATATTTAATCTTTATATAGGTCCAACGACAGACAAACATTTCCCTGATGGAATGTTATATAAAAGTCTTTATTGTAGGCTTCCTAACAGACAAGAATAGTTATAGGCAAGAAACAAATAAAATGACAGAAGTTAATGTTTTGACGAAACTCTTCTTCAGAACTGACTACAAAGTTAAGTTCAAGATAAAGCATTGTCTAAAACAATAGCTTTTCCCATTTTGTTTTGGATAAAATTACTTTCTTATGATATTCCATGTGTAAAAATGTTAGTACATAGCAAGCCTGTAATAAACTTTGAATGAGTTTCTATTTACCTTTTTACTATATCGGCTTCTGTTTTTCTGTAATATGTCATATTTACAAGGGATTTTTAGTTTTAGTTTTAGTTTCACAATCATTTTCTTTAAGAAGAGTTTTCTGCCCATGAAAGACTTCCCATTTGCCATCCACAGTGGCAGTTCAAGGTTATATGTGGAGATAAGGGAAGTTCATGGGGTAACATGTATTAGGAAGCAGCAGGAACTGCTTCTCACTCCTGGATATCAGCCTACATCTGGCCAATTTACAAGATTATGGTTTCCCAAGGAGGGATTTGGCCAATCTTTAGTCTTCAAAATGACCCTGGTTTTATTGGATTGCTTCTTGTATCAAGATAGGATGTGGTTACTTTAGGATGATTATGGTTCCTCTGACTTGTGAGGGCAGAAATAGGGCTAAACCAGAATTCAGTTGATAAGCAACTTTATTTTGTGTATGAGTCCCCAGGATGAACTAAAATACATCTGCATTTTGAAAGTTTTTGGACACAACACTGAATAGAATTCCCTAGGGCGATTCTGTGCTGAAGGGCAAATAGCTGTTTGCTTAGCTGTTATACACGATGAGAAAATGCTTAGTTTTAATGCATTTGACAGAAATAACCCCTAGGCTTTATAGGTAGCTGTTTGGTTCCAGAACACACCTAGAAGGTCCATAGAGAGATGCCATTATTTTTTTTTTTTTTAAAGATTTTATTTATTTGAGAGAGAGAGAACACTTGAGAGGGGATAGGGTCAGAGGACGAAGCAGACTCCCTGCCAAACAGGGAGCCCGATGCGGGACTCGATCCAGGGACTCCAGGATCATGACCTGAGCCGAAGACAGTCGCTTAACCAACTGAGCCACCCAGGCGCCCGAGAGATGCCATTATACTTTCTTTTATGAAACAGGAGAATAAAATGTTTCCTATGCAAATGTCCTGGCACTCATTATAAATATAGTGTGATGGAAAAGAATTTTGTATAAGGTAGGTTTATCTGGGATTCTACCATCTTGTTTTATAGTCCATATTACATAAATAATAGTAAAATTCCAGTGATTCTGTCTATATAATTGGACTCTTAAAAATATGGCTAGTTCAGGGGCGCCTGGGTGGCTCAGTCGTTAAGCGTCTGCCTTCAGCTCAGGTCATGATCCCAGCGTCCTGGGATCGAGCCTCGCATCGGGCTCCCTGCTCGGCGGGAAGCCTGCTTCTCCCTCTCCCACTCCCCCTGCTGTGTTCCTGCTCTCGCTGTGTCTCTCTGTGTCAAATAAATAAATAAAAATCTTTAAAAAAAAAAAAAATATGGCTAGTTCATACAAATAGTGAACTCTTGAAATATGTTTAATTTTTACTTTTGGTTATTGAAATCTAATTACAAATCACATATTTATGTTTGAATCAAACTAGGGAATTGTAACTGAAAAATTATTCTAAGATCTCTGCTTCCTGTTGAAGATATTTGCATCACAAACTTTTTTTATTGGGGAAGATTTAGAAGTTATATAACTTCTTACCTATTATAGTATTAGGCATTTGTTTTTAAAAATATATTATGAACTACATCTAATGATCTTGTGCCAGGGCTACCATTAATAAAGAGATTTTGAAGCCCGTAAAAGATTGATAGAAGAATAATAGACTTGGTGAATATTGATAAATTACTTCTAACGCTTCTCTTTCAGAAGAAAGATCAAAAGTTATTAAGACTCATGGTGGTTGTTGTTTTTTAACTCTTTTGAGAAAAGGTGTTTGGGTGGACCGGTGAACTAGGACCTGGGATTTACTGGTTAATTCCTTCCACAACTGGCTGTAGGCTGAGGAAAGAAATAAAACCCATAACTGAAGAGGCCCAGCTTGTGTATAGAGATGGAACAGGGGAATTATTTCTTACAAAGGAATTTAGGTAAGTTTTGTTTATTCAGGTTAGAACTATAACATCTAAACAGGTTATAGATGAATAGCCTGTCTTCCATCCTTTCCTTTGGCCAGCCACCACCCCTACCCCCAGATTCTAATTCAATAATTCAGCTCACTCACTGGGCATCTGAGTGTGATTTTCCATTCACAGATCTGGGATTGCCATTCATTTCTGGGTTCCACACATTTGGCAAGTCAACTTTAGTCATACATCTACAGATTTCTACCTGACTAGGCACTGCCTTAGAAATAGATCCTGCTAGTTGCACTGTTAACTTAGATAACTGTCAAATATGAATCCAAATACTTAGGTGGTTCTCTCATACCCTAGATATATACAGTAACGTCTGGTAGAAGAGGAAGAAGAAAGTAGATTGGAGAAAGGAGTAAAGGAGAGAATTACTTTTCATTGAGGTCCTACTATGTGTTGAGATACTATGGTTGTTTTAGAAGCTTGTTTATCTCATAGTAGACTTAATAAGAAATATATCTGGATACATTAAGTTCACAAAAATTGTTTAATGCCTTGATATTACTTTATTTTAGTCTAGTTGCCTTGAAGACAATTTCCTATTTTTATAATTTTAGGTCAACTTTATCAGATATATTTGAAGTAATTGATTTAGATGGAAATGGTCTTCTAAGCCTTGAAGAATATAATTTTTTTGAATTGAGAACAAGTGGTGAGAAATGTGATGAAGATGCTTGGGCTGTCTGCCGTGGTAAGCACTTGTCTTTTTCCTTTTTTTTTTTTTTTTTTTAAAGATTTTATTTATTTATGTGTGAGAGAGAGAGAGAGCAAGTGGGAAGAGGGAGAGGGAGGGACAAGCGAATTCAGTGCTGAGCGCAGAGCCCGATGTGGGGCTTGATCCCACAATCCTGAGATCATGACCTGAGCCGAAATTGAGTCAGCTGCTTAACTGACTGAGCCACCCTGGCACCCTGCACTTTTCTTTTTCTTAGTGGATATATAAAAAAAATATGTAGCATCCTTTCATCCTTAAGAAGTAGAATATCAAACTTCTCCATAGAATATTATGGCAATTAGGACAGTTAAAAAAGTAATAGCATTGTGGGGCGCCTGGGTGGCTCAGTTGGTTAAGTATCTACCTTTGGCTTAGGTCATGATCCCAGGGTCCTGGGATGGAGCCCCACATTGGGCTCCCTGCTCAGAGAGGATCCTGCTTCTCCCTCTCCCTCCGTCCTTCCTTCCCGCTCGTACTCGTGCTCACACGCTCCCTCTCTCTCAAATAAATAAAATCTTTTTTTTTTAGAAAGTAATAACATTGTTTATAGACCATAAAAACATAAATATTTGTTTTCGTTAAATTGATAGTTGGTATAGTATTTAAGTTAAAAGAAAATATCAATTACTTAAATGTAACTTCATTTTTTTGCCTATGCTCTTTAGAGCTTAGAATGGAAAAAATTTTGTCCCAGCTCTTGATACTAATGGGACTGAGGTGGTCAAGAGCCCAGAACTGTGCCCAGGAGAAGGCAGCAAAGAACTAATAGGCTCGAGTTTTACTAAAAATTAAGCAGTTTCCATGAAGTTCTTTTTTTTTTTTTTTAAGATTTTATTTATTTGAGAGAGAAAGATGAGATAGCCAGAGAGAGAGCACGAGCAGGGCAGAGAGGGAGAAGCAGTCTCCCCACTGAACAGGGAGCCCAATATGGGGCTCAGTCCTAGGACCCTGGAATCATGACCTGAGCCAAAGGCAGACGCTTACCCCACTGAGCCACCCAGGCGCCCCTCCAGGAAGTTCTTTATATATGTTAAGAATTCTTTAGTTTTTTGTGTTTGAGTTGAATTAAGAAAGTACATCCATGGAGGTATGGAAACCAAAAATACCAAGATGGGCAAAGAAAAATACTGAGGATGAGATAAATTCTGTTATCTCTTAGGAGAAGTCTGGGAAGAGGGGAGGACTTATGTATTTAAGCCAAGGACTGAAAGATCAAAGGAGAAAACCAAAAAGCCATAGCCAACTATAGATCACAGAATAAGAAGGCCAGAATGCAGTCAGGAGACAGATTAACTCACATATCAGTGTCACTGGGGTAGTAATGTGTCCTACTCCTTTGGTTCTTAAAATGGTCTAAGCTTGGCAAAGTCAACAAGCCAGGTGGGAGTCTAATAAATCTGTCTCTCTAAACAGCAAATAAAGTAGAAATATTATTAATACAAAGGTTTTCAAAAATCTCTTTTTTTTTTTTTTTAAAGATTTTATTTATGTATTTGACAGAGACACAGCAAAAGAGGGAACATAAGCAGGGCGAGTGGGAGAGTAAGAAGCAGGCCCCCCACTGAGTAGGGAGCCCAGCGCGGGGCTTGATCCCAGGACCCTCAGTCGTTAAGCCGACGCTTAACAACTATGCCACCCGGGCGCCCCACAAAAATATATCTCTTTTTAACTGAAAGTTTATATAGTATAATCAGGAACAAGAAATGCATATTGACTTATACTATTAAACTTCGAATAACAAGATTGATAATATACAGAATATTTTTAGGACAATGTAATCATCTTACAACTTTAATGATATAATCTTCTGATTATTGTTGGCACTAGAGCACATTCAATAAGTGAATCATAATTAGAATTTTCTTATGGTAAAGTTTTTGATGAATAAAATTTTAGTTTCATAATTAAATTGGGGGAGCCTAGCTGGCTCATTTAGTTAAGCGTCTGACTCTTGATCTCAGCTCAGGTCTTGGTCTTAGAGTCATGAGTTCAGGCCCCATGTGGAGCCTGCTTAAAAAAAATAATAGTAATTTAATTTAACTGGTAGAATTGATAGTTAACATTTTTTTGAGAATTTACCATATACCAGTTGGAAGTACTTCTTTTTTTTTTTTTAGAGAAGTGGGGGGAGGGGCAGAGGGAGAAAGAGAGAGAGAGCATCTTAAGCAGGCTCCACACCCAGCACAGAGCCCAATGTGGGGCTCAATCTCACGACCCTGAGATCATGACCTAAGCCGAAATCAAGAGTCAGATGCTTAACCGACTGAGCCACCTGGTGTCCCCAGTTGGAAGTACTTCTATACATCAACTCTCTGAGGTATGTCCTATTATTTTTCATTTTACAAATAAGGAAACGGGCCGCCTGGATTGCTCAGTCAGTTAAACGTCTGCCTTCGGCTCAGGTCATGATCCCAGGATCCTGGGATCGAGCCCCATGTCGGGCTCTCTGCTCAGCAGCAAGCCTGCTTCTCCCTCTCCCTTTGCCTGTCACTCCCACTGCTTGTGCTCTCTTTCTGTCAAATAAATAAATAAAATCTTTAAAAAAAAAAAAAAAACAAAAAAACAGATAAGGAAACAGAATCAAAGAGGGTAAGTCACCTGATCAAATAGCAAGAAAATTTCACAGCTGAGTTTCACACCCAGGCAGTTAAATTCCAGAACCTTAAATACCCTGCTACAAAAAAATCCCCAGGTCTGGTTGACTTAAAAAATGATTTGGAGGGAATGGCTCCTTCACCAACATTAATAATACTGCAAAGAATTGGGTTTTTTAAGTTCCAAAGATTTTATTTTCTAGTCATACATAATATTAATTTTATCCATCCTCCTTGATAATGAGAAAATGTGTTGTTTATCTGTAAGATAATTTAATAAACTTTTTAGAACTTAGTTACCTTAATTTTTATTATTTTTTAATAGACTTTATTTTTGGAGCAGTTGGTTTATAGTAAAGATTGACTAGATCTCCCATATATTCCTTTTCCACCCTCTACGAATTTCCCCTATTTTTAACATCTTGTGTTACTTTATACATTTGTTAAAATTGATGAACCAATGCTGATGTATTTTTATTAACTAAAATCCATAGCTTATATTAGGGTTATATTGTGCTGTACTGTTCTCTGGATTTTGACAAATATATAATGACATGTACCTGCCATTTACAGTATCATACAGAATAATTTCATTGCCTTAAAAATCCCTTGTGTTCTACCTACTCATGTATCTATTCATCCCTTCAAACCCCTGGCAACCACTGAACTTTTTACTGTCTCTATAGTTTTGCCTCTTCCAGAGTACCTTGTTGTTGGAATATCATGCAATATGTAGCCTTTTCAAACTGGCTTCTTTCACTTAGCGGTATGTATTTAGATTTCTTTTTTTGGCTTGATAGCTTATTTCTTTTTAGCACTAAGTAATAATTCCATTATATGAAGGTACTATAGTTTGTTTATTCATTCACCTATTAAAAGACATGTTGGTTATTTTGAATTTTTGGTAATTATGAACGTAGCTGCTATGAATACTCATGTGCCTCGGAGCCTGGGTGGCTCAATCAGCTGGTTAAGTGTCTGCCTTTGGCTCAGGTCATGATCCCAGGGTCCTAGGACTGAGCCCTGCATTGGACTCCCTGCTCAGCAGGGAGCCTACTTCTTCCTCTGCCGTTCTGTCCCTACTTGTGCTCTCTCTCTCTGTGTCAAATAAATAAATAAAATCTTTAATAACAGAAATACTCATATGCATATTTTTGTGCATATATAGTTTTCAACTTGTTTCAATTCATTTCTATTCAGTTATTGCTGGTACAGTAAACCTATGTTTAACTTTGAAAGAACTGCCAAATTGTCTTGCAAAGCGGCTGTACCATTTGTATTCCCACCAGGAAGGAATGAGTATCTGCATTTGGTGGTGCTAGTTTTTTGGATTCTAGCCTAGAATATAGGTGTGTCTCTTGTTGTTTTAATTTGCAATTCCTTAATGACATATGATCTTCTCATATGCTTATTTACCATCTGTATATCTTGTTTGGTGAGGTGTCTTTCAGATCTTTTGCCCATTTTTAGAATGAGGTGTTTATTTTCTTACTATTGAGTTTTAAGAGCTCTTTGTATATATTGGATACAAATCTTATCAGCTGTGTTTTGCAAGTATTTTCTCTCAGTATGTGGTTTGTCTTTCCATTCTCTCTTTTTTTTTTTTTTAAGATTTTATTTATTTTTTTGACAGAGAGACACAGCAAGAGAGGGAACATAAGCAGGGGGAGTGGGAGAGGGAGAAGCAGGCTTCCCGC